TTCCCCCCCCCCCCCCTGGAATTCAATTGAATCATTTATCAAAATTTTCGGAAAATTTTTGCAAGAAATGTAATATTCTTATAAACTTATAATATATGATACATGTTTATAAAGTGCATTTGCATATAAGATATTATTAGAGTTTTAAAATATTTTCGAAGCGACTTACTGATAGTACCGGTTGCTCAGTATACCGACTAATTCTCCGATCCTATCGTCTTTGGCAATGATCGATAGAATAAAATCATTTCCGCGATTCGAATGAATTGTGATAAGTTGGTCCTTTCCAGGTGAAACACTTAGGCCGGTGATTTCCGCTATCGGCATGCCTTTCCTCATGTTCTTGAACTTGACGCCATCAAGCTTATACACGGTATGTTCCGTCACTACCAAAACACGATCCGCCGGCTTGTTGAACCTGCATTATTTTCAGATTATCATATTGTTTATTGCTAGATCTATCATGAAATTATCAACAAAATAAGAAACCTGTTGGTCTTTCTAATAAATGCACTGAATAGAACAGTTTTGAAGTGATCGGTGTTTCGTAGGTTGTTTATTGACGAGTTGAAAACATCGCTTTGAAAATTCTCGTCTGGTTTGCACAGGTAGTTTCCATCCCAGCGACGATCTTGGCCCCAATAAGATCGCTTTGAACGCAACACAGCGCTCGCTGCCATCTGTAAATAAAATTAATGGTATAATCAGTACAAATAGCGAATGTTGTGTTATTGATAATCTATTTTGAATAATCTATTTTGAATAATTGATAATCTATTTTGCAAACGTTAAGCTTTATTAACTATTCAGTTATTAATAATAGACTGCAAAAATTGTCATAAGCACGTACTTTCAATCGAAGTTGTGGCCAATCCTCCCGAGGAATTGCTCTAAGTATCATCCACGCCCACCATCTCGCATACATATTCCTCAAAGCGGGTACCACATGTCTCACAGCAAAATTTTCGCGCGGCCACGGTAAAGTCTTGCCGTAACCTCGCAGATTTTTAGCGCTTCTGAACGTTCTTTCGAGTTGCTTGATATAGATGCGTCGTTTGTATCTTTTGTAATGCTCCATCAGCACCAACGCGGCTTTCATCTTCTTGTATTTCTGACGGCAGATGTATCCTCGCCATTGCTTTTGCAAAAGAATCACGACGCCCGGTATTAAGTCATTGCGCATCTACAAACGAAATAATTAATCAATATTCGCTGTGACTACAATTTTGTCGTGATATATAAAATCCAGATTTAACCAATTAACCTTTTCTAACTCAAATAAGGTCTGCGGCGAGCGAACAAATATCTTCGTGCGACCGTATTTAACGTCGTCCGAGAAATGCTTCTCATTCATCAATGTGCGTACGCCTTCCTTATCACTTTCACCTCGGAAGTTTGGCCATGTATACTGCGATATCATCTTGTACCTGATAACAAAAAATTAAATTTATTATTATTTTTACCACAAAAACAGCTTTACGAGTAGAATACTTATAATTTAATAGATTGTCCAAAAAATAATTTGTAAATCTCTTAAAGTCTTTAATAATCATATAATTCTCAATATTTATTTTTTTATATAGACGTCCTTTTTTATTTATTTCAATCTTATTTTGTTTATTGTTATTCAATAATTATTATCTAATAATTACACAGCAAATGAAATAAGCTGTGTTATTTCGTTTTACCACGTTACAATAGATTCAATACCTTTTTAGAAATCTGTCGTATCGTTGTCTATAAACAAAACCAGCCCGTCTCACCAATATGTTCTCTACAAGTCCCAAGTATCTCACTTGATGGTTTACTCTTTCATTATCGAACACGACTGGAGACTTTACTTCGTTAGGTTTTATGCATCTGACATAAAACGGTTCTTTACTCGCTAAATTTTTCACCAGTGCAATCATAGAATTGCGGAACAATGTACCAGCAGTTAAAGGCCTTTTTGTCGTCTAAAAGATATAATACGCAGATTTTAGGTACGATCTTCTTCATATGAATGAAATCGTGTATCTCCTCTACAGTTATTATGCATTTAACTATTATATAAAATATAGATTATAATATAAATATAACACATATGTGAACAATATCTTTGTACCTTTAAAATATTCTGAGCACCCTCGGGCCACATTTTGCTAATTACGGGATTTTTGCTTTGATATAGCAGACGTTTAAAATCTTGGAAGAGTGTATCTTTGTTCTTATCAAGAAAGCCATTGATATTATAAATCACATCGCCAGCATAATGTTTGATTTTAAATTGTATTCTATGCTCCAGTTCTTTGTCTATCGGTTTTAATTGTCGAGAGCTATAATGTTTATGGTCAACTAATTTTTTATCCATTGCATCAAGAAGCATCTAAAAAAAGGCGTGTTTTTATTTAAAAAAAAAAATCTTTTGCTTAATGTGAAACTTTAGATTTTCTAGCAACCTCATCAGTGACCTTCCCGACGTTGAGGCAAGCTTCATCCATAATTGCTATTATTCCTTTGTGAGTTTGTTCGACCAAATCGCAAATGATCTGATTATTGAAGTATTCAATGTTTTGCCATTCTATTCCTTCTTTCTGATATTCTTCTTGCTCTTGTTTCAGAACCAACTCTGCGACAAAATGTTCGTAATTGCAATTGTTTTATGTTTTAAATTTGTCAATTCGAAGTGTGCCGTGTATATTAAACATTACGCTTACCGATAAAAAGCTGTTGCAGTTTTTCGTTACAATAATTAATACAAAACTGCTCGAAGCTGTTTACATCGAAGATTTCGAAACCGTAGATATCGAGCACACCGATTAATGTTCCGTATTTCTTCATTTCATCGCTGTTATTTACATTGATTGATTCATTGACGAGCGATACTATCCACGTGAACAATCGTTCATATATAGCCTAAAAAATTCGTAAAGATTTTTGTCAATACATGTCAATTATAGAAAACTCTATAAGAAAATAAATAAATTGAATGCATATTAAACGCACCTTCGCTAATGCATCTCGACCGTATTCAGCTTCGATCAAAGTGTGAGTCTTTTGCATGACTTCTCCACCCGCTGCTATGACTCTTTGAGAAAGAGCAGTGCTCAAATCTTTCGAATTGATGGAGAATAAGTTAGCGGTATCATTTAAAGCACTGTTATTTTCGATTATAAGTTTATCGTCATCCAGTCTGAAAGTGATGTTACCCTGAAAAATAATAAAGAAGTAAATCATGTAAATCGCATATAACTACTAATGGGAAAAATATCTAAAATGTTAGTGTTAAGAAAAGTGTTTTACTTTTATGTCAATGGCCTACCAAATGTAAAATACCAGCGATGATATTCCAGATGGTATGCGTTTCATTTCCGGAGAATCCAAGAGTGAACATGGCGTTGCAAACAGTTTTATAGTCGTTTCTGTCGGAGGAGGCTGTCTTATTATTACTTCCATTGCCGATGAAATAATAAGCCGCCGGATCACGGACTAAACGCAGCTTGTTCAACTCGGCCTCACTGCAGCCGTTTAGTAACTAAAAATTAAATTTCTGCTATGACATATTTTGTATTTGCGAGCATATTCCTAGTTTCCAATCACGTAGAAAGTTTCAAGCACGAAATTATTAATGATTGCGAGCAAACGGAACCTGATAAAAGCAGTGAAAATTGCGTTCTCCCTTTTGCTGATAGACCACCCGCGATTTCTCGAGGAGATAGTTAGTCACGTGGCCGCCAATGGGGTCTCCTTTGAAATCAAAATTGATATCCATGTACTTTCCGAAACGTGACGAATTGTCGTTTCTATTTGTCTTGGCATTGCCGAACGCCTCCAATATCGAATTCGATTGGATGAGAACATTTTTCACCCTGTAAAAATGCGTTTTTATCGCGCTTAGGAGCGCTGCGGAAAGAAAAAGATATTTTCACTATAATCTCGACAGAATTTTGTATTTTACATTGAGTATTTGTATGATTGAATAATGTATGATTGTATCTAAAAATACTAAGATTAATCTTATCAGTTATAGAGGTTCATACATAAGACAGATTAGATAGTGAAAACTGATACTAATTGCCATCAGTTTCTAAGTAATCTAAACGATGACCCCGTACCTCTCAATCTCCTGCTGACCGCTGAGATTGGTCACTGCAGCAATATACTTCATGATGATCTTGCTAGCTTCTGTTTTACCAGAACCCGACTCGCCACTTATGACTATACAAGTGTCTCTGCCCTGTTGCTTCATCTCTTTATGCACTGCATCCGCGATCGCAAAAATGTGCGGAGGATTCTCAAACAGTTCTCTCCCTGGAAACGATTTTAGAAATAAAAATATTGCAAAATATATTATTAAAATATAGGGTCTGATCGAATAACATGTAAAAGCAGGCATGACGTGAATTCCTTATAAAAAAATATAAAGAATACATAGAATAAAGTTTTTCGATTTTCTGCTTAGTTTTCAAGAAAATCGAGTTTGAAAATCCGCTGCGTACATACATATGCTGTTGAGTTAAGTTATGGTTCGTCAAACGACGTATAACGTGTACAGTATTTATAAACAATGTTTACACGGAATCTAAAAGCTATTAGGTTTAAAGAAAAACGCAAAGAAAATTTTTAGTGAATAAAAATTTATTTTTTATCAGTGGAACTGTTCTCGTTGTGGATTTTCAAACTCGATTTTCTTGAAATCTAAGCAGAAAATCGAAAAATTTTATTCTGTATATTTAAAAAATTTTTTTTATAAGGAATCACGTTGTGCTTTTATATGTTATTCGACTGGACCTTGTATAGTTAAACGCGTGTATTTTATTTGTTTCAGTCGAATATTCATTTTTAAATAAAAACTATTAATATTTTTTTTCGAACTCACTCATACCTTTATACTTATTAATTTGGTCCACATCGTAAATATTGGTGCTTTTGTAAGGATTAACGCTCACGCAGACTTCGCCGATATATGTGTAAATTTTTCCCCCATTAAATCTGCAACAATATAATAAGAGCAGAGGATACATTTTAAAAAATCTGAAAGATCACAACGTAATATGTAGAATCAATTAGAAATAGAATTAAAACAAAAAAGATAGAATTCTCTATAAGAAATTCGTATTATTAAAATGAAATTTTTCTTTTAATAATAATAATCTTTAAGAAACCGCAGTAACGTAAGCAACCTTATACTTATTCGTGCGTGTAATCTGCACGATTCGATAAAATACTAAGTTTCTTTGAAAAGTAATGGCTTGTATAATAAATAGTTTATTTATAAATAATTTTGTAATTTTATGGAAACTGTGGATATCGATGTGAAAACGAAAGATAAGTATTATTATTTACCAGACAAGAGACTTAACTCAACTTTGAGATTACCGAATGGTATATAATGAGTCACTCGTCCTTACTTCGACGACAATTGCACGCTCGCCAATGTAACTAATTATTTTTTTCTACACGTAGCAAGAAGTTTGAAATAATATATTTAACATACAGAACGTTTTAATGGTTTTTTCAAATCTCTATATATATATATATATATTCGATTAACAAATAAATGCTAAATTTTGACAAATTGAAGAAATATAAATCTAGATAAAAGCACACTGTTCGAATCGATTAGTTTGTTCAACTATTAATTACATAGCGTTAATAAGTGCTATTTTATTAATATATATTAATAATAATAAGCAGTACTAATTATGTGTAGTATTAACTATAGTATTTTGTAGAAAAACTTAAATTAACACAAAAGCAATTCTATTTCTTATTGTTAATTACATTTTTTAACTGTTCTTGCTCGCATTTAATATTTATTCATATTTATTAATGCTTATACTTTTACCAAAAGTATTATATTATAATTAGTTATTGACCATTATCAAGTTTTATAGGGATGACGCGAGCACAATCTGAAAACTATGCAACAACTCAAGGATGATGACGCATTGCCGACATGAGCCCCGATAAGGATTACGCGAGACGCATACATTCGTCGCGTATACATATTCGAGGATACGCGTCTCCGAACGCTCGTTTTCTCGTCATCGTATTTACCGCTAAACGAGCTTGCCCTCGTGTGCTTCCCGGCTTGCGTTGGCGTCGAATAACATGAGTCGTCGTCTAAAATGATGACATAAATCGGTAAAAATAAAATCTCAACCCATGTATCAGTTTTTGAACTGCATGCATTGAATTTAATTTTAAGGAATATATTAAAATGACCTAAACTATAGTTCAAAATATTAAATTAATAGATATCATACAGCGAACTAAAAACGTTCAAACGAATCAAGACTCTTTTTTTAATTGTTAAATATTCTATCTGTACTGTACTTTAATTATCAATCATTTTATCATAATACAATCGTTTGAGACTTCTAATTCGGATTCTTTCTCTTGGTGAAATCGTTAAAATTGCTAGGAGAAACGAATCACGTTTTACATTAAAGAATTTAATAGATGTTGCACCTGAAAAAAAGAAAAGATTTTATCACGAGTATAATTCGCTATTTAACATTAAATAAAAGTAAGACCTTCACGTACGATTTTCCGTATATACTATTTTGCTTCTTTCTCGTGAAAGTTGCAGTTTAGCGAATAGCTGGGGTTGTGTTAATGGTTTTGAAGCGTGGAGGAAAAATAATAAGCGAACCCGTTTGAAATCTAGCTTAGAAATAAGCTAGATTTCAAACGAGTTCACATATTATTTTTTAGATACAAGGTATCGAAAAGATATGGATCTAGTCATCTAAAGCTGATATCACACAGTTCTGCCCGAAAAACTTTCTAGCTACTTGATAATATGTTATATTATTATAGTAATAAGTATCAAGATGCTTCGAATTAGTTCGAATATATCATAAAAAATTCGAATAAATTCGAATATGATTCGAAATTATATAATGTTATTAAATGTCTTGAGAAGTATTGAATGTCTTAAAAAGTTTCGAATGTCTTGAAAAGTCTTGAATGACTTGAAAAGTCTTAAATGTTTTAAAAAGTCTTGAATGTTTTGAAAAGTCTTAAACATTTTAATACATTTAAAAAAAAAATGAAACTTTAGAGACAATAATTTTAGAGTTATTAATTTTAGTAATTTTTGTTTAATTGCAGAGAGCAAAAAATATATAAGTAAACATAAATAATAATATGTCAAACATTAATATACATCGTACAATATATTAAATAAATGTATTAGATGTATGTTGTTAATATTACTATTTAAAAATTACGCGTTACTATTATCGTTACTTACAGTAAAAAGTAACGCGTTACGTTACTTCAAAATACATATAACGGAAAAACCGTTGGTTTTGAAAAAATGATTGCAGTTATCACAAATATAATTTTTGGAAAGGTAACGAGAACCTTTTTTTTAATCGAAGAAATCGAAAATTATCAAGATTTTTAAGTTAAGACTTTCAAGATCTATTAAGACTTTCAAGACATATCAAGACTTTCAAGAGTATATAGCTTTGAATAACATTCAAAATGTTTCGAAACAGAACAATGACTAAATTAATAGAAAAATTCGCAAGAGATATCATTGAATATCCATCACTAAATATAACGTTATGATAAACAAGATAATGCTTAGCAATTCACTTACATAATCATAATTTGTAAGAGAAAGTCTTGCTTTGCTCTTTATATATGTGGATTCATATAAATCAGATCTTTCAAACTGTAATTGAAATCTTCAGGCTGTTCCTTAAAATTAAATGTTTTATAACACATTTTTGATATTATTTATCTATTTTTAAATAATTGTTTGATTTCATTAATCCGTATCCATACGTTCATATAAATGATTAATTCCTAATTGAGTTTCCTTATATTCAATCATATCTTTATGCCTAATTAAACGCGATTCCTCTGTGCTTAATTTGATTTGATCTAACATGCAGATCTATTTGAGATTTCACGTAATATGTCTAGAGTGCACGATGAATCAGAGCGCGTAATCCATTTTCACTCATACATATCTATACATCTTCCAAGAAATAATGCGTCATGCATTGTGTATTATTGACCTTCGAATGTTATGAGTGAATTTAAATCTTAGTCTAGCGCAGTAATTCTACAAAGCATAAAAAATATGATGTAGTTGAAGTTTGGAGCACTCCAGGAGCGAAAATTCAATGTAAGCTTATAAAAAATATGATAGTAAGTTGAACGTCATTATTTTGACGTAAAAATCAAGAGAAAGATGTCATTTTAGATCAAAATAACGACATCTTGCTGCCTGGATTCTATTCAACATTCTTCATAAAAAAAGCTTTTAACTTGCACAAAAAACTTCATGTATATCGCGGATAGATAAAATATTTACAAATATCAAAAACGTTAATCAAATGATGGTTTTTTTTGGTACACACAAAAAAGTACATATATTCTGTATTTAAATCTTAATTATCTCTTTTAAGTATTTCCAAAATTCATTTATTCGCAAATTTATTATATCACAAGTACAAAATTCATTCAAAATATTTTCTGTGAATTTCAGTTTAATTTCAATTAAGATTATTAAATTAAAATAAAATTTTAAAATTTTATAAACTTCAAAAGAAAGTAATTGCTTTGATAATAAATATTATAGAAGATAAAATTCTTCTAAAATTAGTAAAATATATTTTAAGACTATTATCAAAAAAATATTCTTTGTTAAAAATAACAGTTGCTTAAAAGAAAAAAAATAAACTGAGTAATCATTTAGCAATAGAATATTTTTCTGTGTCTATTATAAAGATTGTCCAGATTTTAGAAAGGTTAAAAAATTTTTTGCAATTATAAAGTCATCATTCTCTAACATGCTAATAATTGTGGGAAAAATATATGTATTAACGGCAGCTTTATATTGCGTTATGTGACTCTGGTTTTTTCATCATGCCACTTCGCGGTGGATGCACGCAATGTACTCGTTGCGTGAATACACACGCTCTTTTTCCACAAAATGATGCACCCGCGCAACCGTGCAACACGTATAATATCATTGCTTCCGCCAGTTGCTCACAGTGTGATATTCAATTCCATGCTCTTCACGATATAGATAGACGATACAGCCAAGTGAATTGGAGTAGTTGCCCTGACGTCTTCTTTTTTGCGATGCGAAGCGACAATTTTCTTGACTCGCACGCGTATTTATTTAGACTTATCAGCACGTTATTTATCTATGGAAACCATTCAGAAAATTTGGCAGCAAAACAGAATAAAGATCCCGTTTACGAAGAGATATTTATTATTTAGTTAAATTGTCATTTATCTCTGGAAATAATTTGGCAAAATAATTAAAGGTCTTATTATTTATAACATTGAGAAAAAAGTTTACTAAATTCTAATAAATATTCCTTTGAAAATAATCCTAACAGAATATTTACTAAATGTAAACACATATTTTTAGACACAGGAACCATTAGTATGATTCAACTATCATTTTTTTGTCTAACTATTTATTAACTATAAAACTAAATATTTCACTAGGTTTGCATTCAAAAAAATATTTATTAAAATTGAATAAATCTTTTTTACAATGTAGACAATTAATTATATTGAAAATTAATTAATAATTTGTATCAATTCTAAAGATTCAATTTAACGAGATATGTTTCTTGATATTAATCTTGTGATCAGTTCAAATACTAAACGATTGTATCACTATATATATATATATATATATATATATGAATAAAAAACTCAAGAAAAATATAAAAAGATATTATATTAATAAAAGTCACCAAATATCAGAGCAAAAATTTTAAATAAAATATCAATAAAAAAATTAATTAAATTTTAGGCCAAATAGACTCGAATAGGCCAACAGGGTTAAATATTTCTTCAACGAGACACCGATCATTTTTGTTTGGAGGAAATTTAGTTTCGTGAAAGAAATAGATGAGTTTACGACTGTCTACGACGACTGTTTCGATTGACTAAATTAATTTGCTAATCGCTATTTTCAATTCTATATCTCTGTCTATCAAGGTACAAAAAAGACGAATTAACTGCAGTTAACGTTGATTAACAGCCGGTCGCACATTAATTATATTATTTATCATCTAGAATACGACTGCAGCCATGCAATGGTCTATATAATAACTCGTTACATTAGCCGTCTATTTTTAAATTGCAGTCTCTCGCCTGCAATGCGGAAAAGTGACATCCAGTTAAGTAATAATTGGTGACGGTGCAACTGGTCTGGGAAAAGTTGTCACTGAAATCATTAAATGAAAACGAAAGTATGAAACACGATTATGCTTCGAACTAAATTACTTCCAAGATTTATAAGCTTTCCGATATGTACTTACATGTGTTTCATAATTATAATTGTTTTTCTTTTTTAATTGTAAAATATATACTCCTCGTGAATAACAGTCCAATAATAATCCAACAAAAAAATTAAAAAAAACATTTTTTTTTTATTTTCTCTTGATTTGTTTGCTTTAAAAGAAGATCTAATTACATCCAATTAAAAATGTCGAAATAAAATAACGTGATGCATGTTTCATAGAAAATATGATTAAAAAGTGCCTGTTTTTTATATTAAAATTATAACATGAATTAAATATCAAATTATATCAAAGATACTCCGTTTTCTTTTCTGGTGCTTCCTCCAATTCATTCTTAATTTAGAAAATAAAAAAAACTCAAACAAACTTATGTTCATATCTTCTGTTTTGTGTTTCTAGACTCACCTAAAATATAAAGGTGCTTTCCTGTCAATGACACAAGTGGACAAAAACATCATTTTTATCTTTCTTGACATTCAGTGAGTAACAAAGATATATACAGAACAACACTTGTGTCGACTTACGTCATCAAATAAAAAAACACCCTAACAATTCACAAGGATTAAAATATATAAAGATGTAGACATTATTTTTATATATAACAAGTTTCTCACTTTTCATTTCCTAAAAATTAAAATATATAAAGATGCAAATTATTTTGGAGCCGGGTAAATTTTATTATCGAGCTTTCAGCCTTGCGCGCCCGACTCTCGCAAAAACACAGCCCATCACTAGCTAGAATTAACTTCCCAAGGCTGTCCGGTAGAAATGACCTCGACGACGTCTCTCTGGACGTTGTCGTCGCCTTCAGCAGGTCAAGTTCAACATGCATCAGGAATAATAACATTCCAAGCACGTAAAAGATAAGAGAAAAAGAGAAAAGTAACAAACAGAGATCTGTATGTTACTTCATTCTCTATTTCTACTTAAGTCATCCTAAATATCATCTATAATTACTTCACGCGCGTATTTTCACTTTCACTGATTGTGAGTAATATATACAATATAAATAATAAAGAACTCTATTTCTCGAAACAAAAAGTGATAACATACATAATACGTGATCATTCGATCAACATCTACAAATCTTCAAATATCTCCAAAACAGTTCTCCGTTCCTGTTTGAACTTTTGAAGTAAAGTGAGAACTGAGAATTGGAGAGAATGCAGAAAAGGTGAACGTAAAAACCCTTCACTATCTCTAGGCGACCACCTGCCGACGACGCGCAAGCCACGCCCTCTCGCGAGCGCAGGGGTGAACCGAGCAAAGATAGCGCGGGGCGCTCCCCGCTGTCCACCTGTCAAGAATCGCGTCTGCAAGACTTTTTTCAAAGTCGCCGATACTCCGGAGTTGTACGCACCTTGTCTTCAGATTCTCCACCACGCGCTCGACCGTGATTTCGTCGAGCAACACAAAGTCGCCGATGCCGACGTCGTGGTTTGCCATGTCTGTCTCGCTCGCTCGCTCACACCGATGCTCACGATTGTAACAAACTGCACTTTAGTCAATCACCACGTGTTACCACCGCGCGCGACCGATCCGCGCGCACCACTGACGGTTGGCGGCCGGCGGGTTGGTTCGCTCGGTGGCTCGGCGCACGTCCCACCGTCGACCAACTTCGCTATCTCGCACGAGCAGCGAATGCGGTCATCTTCAGCCTGCGGTGTTCCTTCCCGCGTCCCGGGCCGTCCCCATCGCGGTCGATGACGGTGCGTGACAGTGCCGTACATGTCGAAACGCTCCGCGATGGCCTGATGGGTGATTAAAACTCGCGATTCAAGATAGCAATCAAGAACCGAAAAAATATTTTCGAAAAATGTCACATATGAAAATTTAAGAAACCTACAATTTACGTAACTTGTTACTATATAACAATTTCGTACATTTTTGTACACCGCATATTTGTCAAGAATATATAACCTCAAGTTTGTTTTGCTGACTTTTTTACATTGTTCATCTTTTCTTTTTTTTTTTCTCCGCGATGATGAAGAAACAAGGAGAAAAGTTAAACGAGAAGTTTAGTTGAGAAGAACAAATCTCATTTAATTTATTTTTCTAAGACAGAAACGTAAAAAGTGAAATTTTTTCCATTATTTCCCATTGCAAAATTTTCATGTTGCCGTCTCAAAAATAAAAAATTACGCTGTCCCGAAACTGCAGAATATGGAATAAAAAGTTATTTCGTCCGTGTAAACAAAACAATGCGAACAACTTGAGTTATATGTCCATTTCTGTCAATGTAGATTAACTTTAATCTTGGTTTAACTTACTTAATTTTAATCTTTTTCTGATTCTTAGAATTAGAACAAGATAAAAAGTAAGTTAAACCGAGATTAAGGTTAATTTACATTGATAGAAATTTACTTTAAGACGACTTTGACAAAACTCCAATTAATCGGCAATTAACTCGATCGGCAGCGAATCGCTTAAAACAATTAAATCTCTACTATACAGTTCATTTTTCATAATTTTTTTAAATAATTTTATTAATTTATTTTATTTCACTCGAATTATTAAATAAAATAGTGCTGATAAATTAAATTAATCGAAGTTTGGTCAAATATGATCCTGATAACTCTATATATGACTCTCGCGAATGTAAGAAATTTTATTTTCAGGTAGGACATAATTGAGCACAATTTAAAAATCGTATAAAAATCACATTAGCATATCAAAACCTTATTACAAAATTATCATTAAAAGTCGAATGACATCATTATATATGAATTTTCTTAAAATTATTTTAACGTGATGTCATATATATCTTAATCTTATTATAATTTTGTGTTCTACCTGGATTATGACTCTTTACCTAACTGTGTCTCTTTAAAAAATTCCTGTAATAAGTTTCTATTATTACAGAAACACGATAATGTTTTTCCATAAAGTTAAACTTTTTACACAGTTTCTCTCTCTCTCTCTTCGCTTCTTTTTCACGTGTTGAAGATAAGAAGAGAAAAGAGATTAACTGTGCAAGAAATTCAGCTAAAAAACTAAGTAATTTTTCCTCTAAAACGGAAACGTGAACATTTTTATGTACATATGTACGTACACGTACATACACACAATACATAAAAGAATTTAGAGTTTTCATGTTTCACTGCAATTACATGAACGACTTGTCTGACTAGAGTCTCTCGCGGAGCGTACGCCCCTGGCGTACGCGGAAGAGACGGACGGCGCGTGCGCTGCAAGCTCGCACACACCCGCGCTTGTTCACCTTTATTTTTGGAAGCGACTGGAAGCGGTAAGTGAGCGGGTTGGAGCGGGTGAAACGTTTCAGCGGCGGTTGTCATATTACTGTGTCACTAGAGTGTTGCAGACTACTGGCGTGTTCGGATGTACGTGCGTATGCGCATGACTCCGAGCCATCATCATCACGAGCGATGTCGACGCGAAGGGCAATGCCGACGATGACGATGTTTAAGTCGAGAATTGGCTCGACACCGCTGACGAATGGCAATGGCAATCTCGCCGAGATCCAGAAATCGACGCCAGCGAGACTCTGGTCGAAGATTCGCATGAACGAGTGGACGTTCAGTCTGACGCTCTTCACCTTCTCGCTCGCCATCATCGTGGGCAAGCTGTTCATGAATTATGGTAGATAAACGCGAATCGCATTTACGGATATCTTGTACTTCTCAATTTCCTTTAAATCAGCACGTCGCATGAGCCTTTCTACCTCCCGAGATCAGACGCGATGCCAAGCTTCCGTTCGCGCGTCCACGAATCTCAATTGAGGTTAGATGTATCATTTAAAGCATTTAAACGTACACTTTCTGTTTTTGATTCTGTTGAAAGGGACGTTCCTAGCGATCTGAATCGCTTCCACAAGGAGATATCGTTGTGTCACGCGAACGACAGTAGATCGTCGCCGGTAGGACATACCCGTTCTGGGTCAATCCGTCGTATACACAAGTTTTTGTTTTGGTTACATTGGAAGCGGGATTGCTGACGATATATATACGAATCCGTCTCGAGAGGAAGCCTGTGCCGTTGCACGCCGATATGTACTTGACTTTTATTTTGTCTTCTGTCAAAACGCGACAAACTGTGAAACGGAAATTTTTGCTGTAGTTTCTCTAATTATATTTTCTGTATACTTACATTGGATATGTTCTTCTCAGTTATGCCTTTCTATATATTTGCCTTTCTCTTTCTTTGCCTTTGCAGCATGGGCAAGTGATTGTTTTATTAAAAAACAAAGAGGTAGAAATGTAGCTGAAAAAAACAGATCTAATGATATTTCTATAATAATTTGTCCAGGTGATTGTTCGTTAATTTGCCTGTTGTGTGTTCTAATTATTTATTATCAACAAATGTATTTCTAGAATTATTTATGTGATATTAATCATTTATGCTTTCCAATTTATGTTAATATTGACTTTATTAATGCCATAAGACAAGAACTTAACACAATCTAAAATTAAAATCATTTGTTTATTTTAATTATACAAATTGTACTGCTATAAATTAATGTTCTATCTCATTTTTATGCCTACATCAAATTAGAGATTGAGATTGAATTTGACTAATTAAAATAAAGTTCATTAAATTAGATATAACAATTGTTATTGTATTTGTATATTTACATATAAATATTACTTGTAAGCATAAAAACATGCTTTGACCGAAAATGGCGTTCTTCTCTCTTATTTGTGTTTAAATTATTTCTTGATCTATTTTATTTAATATTAGTTGGTATTCATTTTCTTTGTTAGTTAAATTTAATCTCAATTTTTAGTCTGATATGGATATTAAAACGCTCGAAAACCAGACAATTCTCATCTCCGTTGTGATTTCATTAAACGAATTATTTCTCGCAAAAATTAACAATTGTAGATAGCATAAAACACTAGTAATATTCCAGCAGCGTTGCAACGTTGTTGCAATATTGCTGGGATGTTTTATGTTATCTGGAATTGCATAAGCTTTATTTCTGATAGGTAAAGACGCACAGGTGAAAGAAATAAATCTAATACGTTTTAGCAATAATTTTCCAGGCAATCGATTGTTAAGTTGCTTATATGTTTTCATTATTATTTGTTGTCAATTTGTATATTTCTTAAATTATTTATATAATATTAACTGCTTTAAAGCGAAAATCTAACTTGGATCACGAAAGTCTTGTTTATTTATATAAATTTAACATTGTATCGTTATGAATCAGCATTCTGTTTTGTTCTCTTAGGATGTTTGAAAACCAGACGATTCTCTAGTCGCTGTTCTGATTTCAATAAACAAATTATTCCTTGTCAAAGAATTAACGATTTATTCTGTAAACTTTATTCCTTTCAGAAAACACATTGTATCATGCGTTGTACAAGAGATGAAGAGATAACAGATAACAGATGATTGCTGCGGTGTTTTCCAAAAGTTTTATCATGTAAACGTGCGGTCTCCAAACTCGTGTTAAAATGCATGCGTCGTGCACATATAGCCTGCAGTCTTCGATTATATTTTTAACGGGGCGCGTGACCTATTTCTATTATGAGATCATCTTTCCCGGACGACGCGAGTCCTTCGATCCTCTCCAGTTTCCTCGCCCATGCATTTATTATATGAGATCATTGCCCATGACCGAATTTGTCAAGGCCATGTCGTCGTTTTAAAAGTACGTGCCTGACTAGTCATAAAAAAGAAAAGACAACTACAGAGAGCCAACAAGAAAAACTCTTTTATTTATCTTATCTTTTATCTTATCACATTTAATTAATTAATTATTTTTACATATAAACTTGGAAGATTTCACGCGTTAGAATGTAATATAATTTTAATATTTAATATTTTATTTTAGAATTTATAATATATTTTAATTGAAATATTTATATTTTAATTGAAAAATTATAATTAAATTATTTGTAATATTTTGAAAAAAGAATAACAAATTAGTTTAAATTAAATGTTTTCTTTTACGAATTAATGTAATTTATAAAAGCTTTATAACTTTTTCTCTGTCATTCTTTCTAAAGATTTATAATTATATGGCTGATATGAGTTTCTCATGCTCTGCCCTTAGGAAAGCTTTTGTCATGGCAATCCGGCGATCGATACTCTATGCCATCGGTGGCAATATTTACGCAAATGTATGAAACAATACCGAGTATGTCCGAAGTTTTGTCGAAATTTGATGCGAAAAAATTGCCGACGGATAACAGAAGGCTCTTGAACGCCAATAATCAATACGCGGAAGCAGCTGCTGATATGCTGATAGCATATTTTGACAGATTTGGGTGGCTGTTGAAAGCAACGATGAGCGGACTTGTGATAACAGGTTTCTCCTGGTTTATTCTTTACAAGGACAGCAGTATACCCGGTGTTAATCCACCGTCTCCTTTCAGCCCTTCCAAGCAAAGGTAGGCTCTTATTTATATATATATAAGAGAGAGAGAGAGAGAGAAAGTAACACTTGCGTAAATTGTACATTTTTTATTGTACAATGTATAATTAACAAAGATGTATGAAAATATTGAAAATCTAAATATGAAAATAAAAATCTATATCTTCTATTGCTCATCAATTTATTAAAAATAAATAGATAAATTTTATACTTATGCTGCTTGAAAAATTGCAAATGTGTCGCGATTTACATCTCTTAATATTGCTTATTTCAGGATACATGGCAGCTCGAGAATACAGATAAATTATTTAGTTGGTGTGCTAAATGGAATATTATTTTTCGTCTATATGTGTCTTTAACGCAGTGAAGACCTCAGTTTTCAAAAGGTGGCTCTATTTTTTCTTTGTATCTATTTATATAGTATTATTTATTTGACTAATTTATGTCGTCGGTAGTACTACGTTTATTTACGAATAGCTTTTGCGAAAATGGATGTTAATGACAAAATCTTAGGTCCTTATTCAGAATGCGTTTTTATTGATAAACACGCGCTTTATCTCTGAAATTCTATGCGTAACGTAAACTATAGCATGTTAGAGCGCTAACATCATTATAAGCGCGTTCTGAATACAGGGATTAGTGTTTTGCAACTCTTTCTATTATATAATATTGTTATATCATGCAACGATTTCGTAAATAGCTTTATCTTAGAGCGAGAGTCAAATTTCGCCAAAATGCACAGAAATACATTTTTTTAAATGTAAAGAGCTTTGAACGAAATCTCCTATTAGCACATAAAGAATTTATTCTATTTTTGTGTATATTAATAGACGTTACTAATAATAACACAATGTGCAGAAAGTATTGAAACCAAGTACTTTGGATGCGTGATATGCAACAATCAAAAACGTCAAAAGTACAAAACAGATTGTTCCGTAACCTTTTCTCCAAATTTTATATAGTTGTCTGCAGGGCTTGGCATGTATTTAAAATACTTTTATTTAAATTTTCGCAATAAAAGTAAATTTCATATTTTACATTTCAACGGTGTACATGAAAGTAACGTATTTTGTATTTAAAATTGAAAGGTTTAAAGTTGAAAGCTTTATGTATTTCGTAATTTAAATAATAACATTCATCGTCAATCTTAGTATTTAAAATACAAAATAGTACTACTTAATAAATAATAATACTTAATAATACTTAAGTAAATACTTAATAATACTTAAGTAATATTTAATAATACTTTAGTAATACTTAATAGTAATACTTTCAATCTTTTATTATTAATACTGAAATACACACAAAATATAAAATATTTTTATATCTATATTTCCATAAAATATAAAATGCAAAATATTTAATGTACTTCGCTGAAATACAAAATACACGATCCAATTGTCTTACAAATACCGTTTTCAATTAAAAGTATTTTAAATACATGCCCAGCCCTGGTTGTCTATTGCTACTGTTTAAGACTGATTGATAATCTGAAGGGCATATTTATTGATAGATAGTGTTGTAATGTACAATTAATTTATGTATGCAGAATATATATATATTTTTTGCATGTATAAGAAGAAATTTAAATAGCAGAAACGTGAGGCTATGAGTAACATTGTATTTAATATTCAACGCATCATTTTGAATGTTACAAAAATGATTGAAGTCTTTCTCATTAGGTAGTTAAGAATAAGTAAAAAGAAAAATACGTTTCTGAGAACTATTTGCCTATATTTATACTTAAATTATTTCAACAAATATTAGACTTAATTAGTTGATCGAATGATTATAAACTAAAATTAAATGACAAGTCTATTACAATTCCAATTTCCATAAATATTAAGTTCGAAATATTGTGACTTTTAATTATAAACATTTATAAAAATTTATGGAACAACCATTTATAAAAATTACAGAACACTTTACAAACATTAGGGTGCGCAAGAAATGATAATTGCATTTCAGAAAAATATGCGAAATAGAATAAGATAATTTCCAGAGGTTTATCACATGATAAAAGCCTCGTCATTTCCGATTATCGCAGAATTAACGTTACAGAAATAAGTGCACTAAAAGAAAATGTATTATTTTTTTAATGATTCAAATATAGGGTTTAAAAAAAAAGAAGGAATATTCATAGTATATGTAAGTAGCGTCTTACTAATGTTATTGCTGTATATGTACACGCATGTTCTTTCGCGTTCACGAGATGCTGTTCAATAAACATTGAATTTATATTTGCACTTCGTGTATATGTTTCTTATCTCATTCAAATGTCCCGCCTCACTATGACATGTCGGCGCACGACGCGATGATGACGTAATCGCGCGGGGGCTTGCACAAGCGTGCGCAAGGCGACGGAACTGCCAAACTGGACGAAACAGTCAGTACGTATTGTGTTTGTGTATACCGTATCGTTTGTGAACTTCAATAAATTCTTGTCTTATTCACCGATTTTCCGCCGTTCTTCAATCCCTTCTCACGATGGCGAATGAGACGCGTTCATCTGGCGAGGTCATGACTGAGATCGTGAAAACGGCGAATCAAATCTACAAGATTCACAACCAGGATGACTTCAGCCGGATCACCAAGGGAATCAAGGTTGCACGGTGCATGCAGTCACCGTCGTCCTACGGTGAGCTGTGGCCTGATGCAGAATTCCGAGAAACATATGTTTGTTTATTTCCCGCTGAGTAACTCATAATAGAGCTCCGCTTTTGGAGCGAGACAGAGACGAACGCTCGGATTGGGAACAGAAAGTGTAGCTAGAAAGGATAATTTATGTATGTGACAAGTGAAGAATCATACAAGTTCACATTCTAGAGAAACGTAACTGTTTCTCTTGAAACAATTACGTTGAGAGCAGATATCATTTAATAATAGATGAATAAAATGTGTCTATGTATACTATATGTTGTATGCACCTGTTTTTATACTGTCAATTGTCAACAAACTTTGTGTAATTATTTATGCTTATTTTAAGCATGAGATTATATGACCTTTTTGTAATCACTCGGGAGATGATAAGAAAAGTAACAAAAAGATTAATAATTTAATTGTCATATGTTTTAGATGCTCTCTCGAAACAATCATGCTTATTAATTAAAGGCTTCGAATACAGAATGAAAGAAATCATGTACATGTAGCTAAAAATATTTGTCTTGATTGTTAAAGTTTTATTAAAAATTATAAGAATTTGTATTTTGTGTGTGAAAATACTATCATTTAACTTGTTGCTATATATAATAAGATTAGTATAATAAGGATCACTTTTTTTACATTAACATTTTTTTTCACAGAATTTACAGTTATATTAAAAATATGTAACACAATAATATCTATATGCAGAGTCTTATAAGTATTACCACAATGAAAACTTTGAGTTTATGTCTTTAATATAATTAGTTGGATATATTTTTTCAGGAAATTAATGACACTGAATCTCTTTGGGTTAATAACAATGATAAAACTTTAAGTGTATAAATCGAGGAAAGTTGAATATTATTTTTTAATGATTAAAAATTAGCAAAGTCATTTTTAATATTTTAATATGCATGAGAAAAACACTAAATAGCTAACAGTTTAATAAGATTTTACATGTGAAGTTTCTCTGCTTTGCAGTACCTGACAGCGAGCAGATAATATGCGAGCTTGTAGTATCCGATTCTTTGTGTTGTTCGTACTGTAATACCGAATTTGAGGACAAGGTGCAACAGAGACTCCACTACAAGCTGGATTGGCATCGTTACAATCTGAAGCAACATCTGAATGGTTTGAAGTCAATTAGTGAGGACAATTTCAATAAGTTGGCCGGCGAAGGTACAGTCTGAGATGAAGTACACGGCGAGCTTTAAGACGGTGCAAAAACAGTTAGGCATGTGAAAATTTTATAGGCGACATGTCTAGCCTGTCTGGTAGCGAGGTAGAGTCCGAGAACGAGGACGATGCTGGTACTTCGGAGACTGGGGCCTTGTCAAACGAGCAAACCAAGAACGAGTCGTCGAGTAAGACTGGACTTGGCAGGTCCAGAAAGTTGTCAGAAAGACGCGGGAAGGCAATCGAGTCAGACATTTCAGACACGGAGTACAACGAGGAAATGTCCAAGGAGCGGAAGCTACAGGTTGTCGCAAGTCGCCACACCAAGGTCTTTTTCGAGAACGACGATGGCAATATATTTAGTATCTATCGATGTTTACTGCATCATAAGAAGGTGTGTTTGTTATAGTTAGCAGAATTGTTGTCAATGGCTGCGTTCAGCAGAGAAAGCAGCTTTGCAACTGTTGTCAGATTTTTCAGTCTAATTACTTTACATATTTAGATCTGTAAGGAATTAAAAGTAAGAACCAATTGTACACTGAAGAATTTTATAACAGTTGCATAGCTGCTTTCTCTACTGAATGCAGCCAATTAAAGAGGTGTAAACTTATGCACTATTATATTTATTAGTCTATTCTTTTCAGCTGAACTTGTTGCTGTTTGTTTTTCCTCCTTTTCTCTCCTATATAGAGCAAAAAAGAGGAAAAATAATTACTGCAAAAAGTTTATTTAAAAAGAACAGATCTATTGTTACGTATACTTGGAAGACGCTTGCACACAAAGTATTATTTTGAAACTTAATTACTTTATTAGAGTCACTTGGCGTGCTCTGTACTTGCCAGATCGGGAGATATGCAATTACGTTTTAGGACATTCCCGAAAAAGACACCGAGATGATCACTCAGGCACTGGACAGCGGCAGGAAATCCAAATGGACAGTCATCATGGTTGGTGGTGGACACTTCGCCGCGGCAGTATTTCAGGGTATGCACTATTTTTAAGAATAGTTTTCTGATGTGCATAATTGTTATATCTACTTTGGTGTATCGCAGATGGTGAGCCTATCGTGCATAAGACCTTCCATTCTTATACTGTGCGGGCAAAGCAAGGCTTTGCTCAAAATTCTCGTACGAATGGTAATCACGCGAAAAGCGCGGGGGCCAGTTTGCGAAAATATAACGAAGCATCGCTCATTCAGGTACATACTGTACTGTAATAATGTTTACACAATTCGCTAGAGATTAATGAGTTATTTAATAGCCAATTAAACTGACACTGCAAGCTGACGTAACGATTTTTCTAGCATGTACAAGAGATATTGGAATCATGGTCAATGCACATCAACCATTCATCAGCTATTTTGTACCGAGCGGTCGGTCCACACAATCGTACTGTGCTTTTCGGTGGCAAGAATCCACCTTTAGATAAGAACGATTTTAGAATAAGACCACTGCCATTTCCTACTCGAAGAGCAACGTTTAGGGAAGTCAAGAGAGTATACGATATTTTGAGCACTATGGAGATTTATGGTAAATAATATAATAATAAAATATAGTTGTTCACAAT